TCCTTCCGCTAACATTGACTCATTAACTTTAGCTACACCGATCTTTGTATTTAACTTTTTATAATTTATAATATCATCACGTTTATTCGTTAAATTTGCTGTAGACCTTGAATCAACGATCCAAACTTCTCCATCTTCAGTTTTAGTTGAAAAATAAGATACCTTTTCTTCACTTTCTTTCTTCTTATTTTTCTCTTTTCTAAAGAAACAATTTTTATTAATATGATTTGTCTTCTTGCAAATACTACATCCTTCATTATTTTTGGCTTGAGTCTCACTATTTTTAAATAGTGTCTTTTCTTTACAGAATTTTTCTACATGACCTAGCTTATTACATCGAAAACACCGAATTTGCTTAGCAGCAGTTGTTTTAAATCTGCAATCTTTAGAAATGTGTCCAATTTTATTACATTTATAGCATTTCTTACCTGCAGTTTTGAATGCAACACCTATTTCTACAGGTTGTCTCGCTTTTATTCTCATTTCTTCAGCTATCAATCTGGTAGTCATATTCACTAGCGTCTTGTTATTTTTATCCGTAGATTCCCATGCACTCGCAAAATGACTGTATTCCTCGGGCAAAGTTGCGAGAATTTTAGAAATAATCATGCTGTCATTCATATCAATATTCAAAGTGTTCAACCTGTTTGCAAGATTCTTTAATTTACTAATATATGTTGCAATATCAGAACCTTTATCATAAGACAAGCTGTAAAAATTTTGCAATAGATTGCATTTCTGCTGTTCGTTATCTCGCTCAAAAATAATTTTAATTTTAGTCCACGTCTCAAATGCTGTTTTACAATTCAGAATATGCAAAAGCGGCCTTTTATCAATTGTTGTTATAGCTATTGTTTTCTGAGCTGTTGCATCTTCCTTTTTCCATTTTTCTGTTTGTTCTTCTACTGGTTCATCTAAAATCACTATCTCATATAAATTATTTACACGAAATAATAGTTCCATTTGAAACTTCCAAATAGGATAATCCTTTACAGTTGTTAATTTATCGATGTTTGACGCATCGTCATTTAAAGTCTTATTGTTAGACATTTTTATATTTTTTTATATCTATTACTTTTAATAATTAAATCCACAAAAATTGCAATTAAATTCTTAATAAATATCTTCTTAATAAAAAAAAAATTAACTTACTCTTTTAAAGAACCCACTAATCAAAAGGACATATTTTATAATTTTATTCTATTATTATATATCTATTTTAATTTTATTTTATTTTATTTTAACCTGAAAAAAAATTGCTTTCTTTAAATTATAGATCCTTTTAATTATTACAATTTTCTGTTTTTTTTTTAATTATTACAATTGTATTATATTGTATTATAATATAAAATATTATTTCAAATTTTTTATTTTTAATTAATAATTTTAGTATACTAAATTTTATAATTTTACTTTAATTTTTAATTTCCTTTTATATTTTTAAGAAAAAATAGTAATAAATGAGATATTAAGTCTAAACAATCAATTAATAAATCTATCATTTAAAAATAATGCTTTACTCTTATATATAATATGCCCGTTTTTCCGGCACGTACGACATCAGATTTTCGAATATATTTTCACAATTCTTTATTCAAATATATTTTCTCCAGCTTTATTTTTCTTATTAATTTTATCAGTTTTATGCTTCAGCTCTTAAATGTATCTTTTATTCGTAATTTTATTTTATTTTATTTTATTATTTTTAATATTTCGCGTGTACTGGGCCCATAACCTGTTAAAATCTATCAAATATTTGATTAATTTAAATGCAATTAAATTAATTATTGTTTATTAGTTTAAACAAGTTGAAAACTATACAGTAAATGTAAAAAATATTAATTGTATCAATTAAATATGTTTAAATCTTTAAGTCAGTACATGCTTTAAATATTATTATAATAAATCCGATATCACACGTTTATTATAATTAAAATATTATTTTACCAACCTCGTTAAATGTTTATTACAATCGGTAATCTTATATTAATCGTCCTAATTATAAACGCAAAGGTGAGCTCACCGATGTCCGCCGGATAAAAAGGCTGAGTCTAATGTTTCTTTTCTAATGGTAACGTTAAAACATTATATTTCAACTGTTCGCGTATGCGAATCGATATGTAATAAAGTATAACTCGAACATAATTATTTTTAACACTGGCCATATCAGCAGAAATTACTAAAAGTGTTAATTCCGTGTCTTTTATTAATGATGCACTGTTTTCTGATCGTAACTCAGGTAACATGTATTAATTAGTACAAATTTTGTTGAAATAAATTCAATTTCTTCTTTTTTCTTATCTAAAAAGGTGCATGTAAAGTCGATAACTCGCATTTCTCGAAATTATTTATTGTGGCTTTTCCGCGATGCTGATTGGTTGTCTCGCTGCGCTTACTTCGTGTAAGAGGCTGTGTCATTGCATTTTGACAGTTGTGTGTATTGAGGTTGATGTTATTGTAAATTATAGTAAGAAGTATAGCGCGCGAGATTGGTTTTCTTGCTGCGCTTTCTTTGTGAACGGCTGTCATTGCGGAGATCATTGCGGAGATTTTGTACTGAGATTATTGTACGTACTAAAGTTATTTATTTGGTGTCATTATTTATTTAGTGTTGTGATAATCATCGGTGCGCGTGTGTAGTCTGGCGACTTTTTTCGCACACTGATTATCGCCGATTTCTTTGACAAGGACCTGTCATCGCCAAGATTATCTATTCCAATCGTCTCAGATTGTAAGGGGTTAATAATCACAGTGTAATATCAAATCGATAACTGTTAGCTGAAAATAAAATGCAACAGAAAGTATCGAGTTTTTAAAAATATTAATAAAGTATTAAAGTCAATATACAGATTGCTTACAAAAATGTTATCACGCTATTAAGAATATTTAAGTAGCATGCTAACATTTTTATAACCACGTACTGAATACAGACCTAAAAATAGAATGTGTAATAAAACTTATCTGACATTCAAGCGAAATTCAAAAGAAAAAGAGAAATTTTTATCGGCAAATATTAAACTATCATTATTAACACCTAAATCTGGGACGACTTTGATAATCTTGGCGAAGTCTTTGTTTCCCCATGAAATATAATATATAAGAAATAAATCAGTAATCAATCAGCAAAAAGCCACCAGAAACTACAAACGCTATTTGCTTTTTACAGTTTTACTTTTTGATGATGATGATAACTTCAACACGACAATAACCTCAGTATAATTGTCAAAAGTCAATGCAATGATAGCCGTTCACGAAGTTAGCGCAGCGAAAGATAAGCGCCGCGGAAGAGTCAACAATAATTTCGAGAACAACGATATATTTCGAGTTCGACTTAACATGCCTTTTTTTAGATAGGATGAAGTAAGTAAGTAATCATTATATCTTACGCTGCATCTCCGTCCCTTCCTTTTTGTCTCCGAGAGCTCGCTTTTTCTTTATTCTCGTCGGGTTGCCGTAATTATTTTCAGTCGTCTGTCCGAGGCGTCGGACATTCTCGGTCAGTGCTATGAGCGGTGCTGTATTTTTACCGCGGACAGGCCGCTAATCTCACTCACGAACCGTCCTCTTTTATCCGGGCTTAGGACCGTCCACTGAATCCTCCAGTAGCTTTGCAGGCAGAGTTAAAAAAATGTATATATTTATAAGAAAAAAATTATTTATTTTGTAAATATCTTTTTATTAAAAGTACTCTCATAAAAAAGTACTCTCATTAAAAATTATAACAAATTTTATTTAAAAAAAATATTAACTTACCCAAACCTGATTTTCCATTGGACTCGGCGCGGAGAGGGAAGACGAAGAAGTGACGGTGAAGGCGGCTGTGGCGACGGCGGTGGTGACAGCGGCGGCGGGGGTGGCGGCGATGAATGACGATGATGATGATAATGCGACTGCTGCAGTTGCTGACGCGTCTGTCAAATGGACATATTAGATTTGAGAAGCCGTCGTACCGTTCGGACGTGTCTTGCTCTGCTCTGTCTATTCGCCACGTTTTCTGTTCTAAGTTATAATAAAGAGGGTGTTCTTTGCGTTCTTAATTTGGTGTTCCTTTCATTTCCCCGCGATCTTCCGGTGCGCGTGCGCGAGCGCGAGTGCGGAAGCGCGAACGTTACGCGAGCGAGTGCGTGAACGCGATACTCACCGCCCCGGGCGTAACAGTATATAAATTCGATCGTTACTTATGGTTTCGTAACCGTAACCGCCCGCCGTTGCTGTCGTTGTTATTGTCATCACCACTATCGTTTACATCACCACCATTGTTTACATCTTCTTCATTGTCATCACCGTTATTTTCTTCTTCTTCCTCGTCACTACGTCACTGTCGTTTTTCTCTTCTTCTTCAACACTATTATCATTTTTATGTTCTTCTTTATTACCACTATTGTTTTCCTTTTTTTCATTATTACCGCTATCGTTCTCATTTTTTTCACCATCACCATGGTTTTCTTTATCAGCATGGTAATGATCTTTATCTTCGTTACTATCGTCGTAGTGGCCATATTCATCGTCGTCGTTGCCGTCGTCCACGTTGTCATCCTCGTCGTCGCTATAAACAGGACAAATAGGAGGCTCTCTATCGGTCGAAAGAAATTAATTGAAAAATGCAATTTAATTTGATTTATCCAAATTGGCGCTTTAGAGTCCATTAGAAAATGCATTTATATTTCTTTATTAGGATAACTCGTCGGTATATACGCCGCGCGAGGATTTACACCGCGGAAGTCAGAAAAAATAGAAGAAGTGAGTTATAAAATTATTGTAAGTTAAATCGATTTATCACTGTAATAAGTAGCGCAATTATAAGTTATAATCTACATAAGATGATTATTGTAGGAAATGTAAAAGGCTTCGTGGTTATTTCGTGGTATATAAGTGTAAAGGATTAATAAAGAATAGAGTATAGCAAAATACAAGTGCTTAGCTCTTGTATTCTTTGTTTAATTTATTGTCTCGTATATCCCATCTGTTAAGGATATACGGCATTTTTAGCTTGTGGGATTTATGCCGTAGTTCTATTATTTATTTATAAATATAAAAGTAAATAATAATACGTGATAATACGCCCTTTTCAATACATTAATCATAACATTCATAACATTCATGTATGCATATACTTATGCATGACTTATTCATAATCTATGATAATACGTTTTTTATTTATTTATTAATAAGTAAATGCAAATTACGTAGTCAATTTACGTGTTATTTACTATTATTATTTAGATTATTTATATATTTTTTTAATTGTTTATCCCACTCGTGAGTAGTCGTATAACTCACCCCCCGCTTTTTTTATACGGCAAAAATGTAAGAGTCTAAATAAATTTTTTTAAATATAAGAAATAAATATTTTGTATTCTTTTTTATAATAGTAGACAGTCTAAAGTACCCTAAACATAATTAATAATACCCGATAAATTAAATTTTTAATAAGTGAGACATTGTATACCGGAGTTACCTTATATTATTTTTGGACTCAAACTTGCTAGTTCAGCTGGAGTAGCGAGACGTATTACGTTCTCCTTCTCGTTTGCCACTCGATGCTCGGTTGGGCGGCATGGACGGAGCAGGAAAACGCGGCCAACTTAAGCAAGATGACAAGGTCGTGCGGACTACGATCCTCATCGACGGAAATCAGCACTCCTTTTGGCATCTCCTCCGTGTCTTTCGAAAAAGATGATGAAGGCGAGCAAACTTTCCGAACAGAGCGGACAATCGGAGGCTTGGCGGCCAATAAAGAGCTGCCTCCCGCACTCAGCGCACGAAGTGAAATGGTCGTTAATTACGGTGTCAATTGTCAATCAATGGTTCACGCGATTCTAGCTAGATGCTAGTCTATGATGGAGCCATTTCCCTGATACAGGAGTAGTGATGTGTGATTTTTTCCAGATTCTTGAAAAATCAATTATTCTGGATGATAAATAATCGATTATTAATCGCTATTGCGTACAATTTTGCTTACAATCTTAATTTTTAATTATTACTGTATTTATGTATAAATTCATATGTAGAATTCTATATTGGATTTTATATATATAGATATACCGAATCTAATAAAACCATATAAATTTGAAGTAGAATACTATTTAAAATCTCAGTTATAATTAGACACAAATATATTCAAGGTGTTCGATTTAAGTCTGGACTACTCGGAATATAATATACTACATAAATGATTATATAAATTATATAGTATTTATAATATAATATTATACCACATAAATATATCTATTATATAGATTTTCATATGGAGTTTTATACACCATCTGGATTCTCAGATGGATTTTCATATATCATCTGGATTCCCAGATAGATTTTTATACACCATGTGGATTTCCATATAGATTTTTATACACCATTTGAATTCCCAGATGGATTTTCATACACCATGTGGATTTCCATATAGAGTTTATACACCATGTGGATTCCCACATAGATTTTCATGCACCATCTGGATTCCCAAATGGATTTTCATACACCATGTAGATTTCCATATGGATTTCCATACACCATGTGGATTTCCACATGGATTCCCATACATTATATGGATTTCCATATATGATTTTTGATATCTTATATGGATTCCCATGGGTTCCCATGGAAAGCCACCTGGTTTTTTTCAACAGGGTATACAGCACAGAAACGTAGCAATATATTGCAGCTTGCACTGCAATAATAGCGGCTATAGTAATAATGGAAGTAAAGCCATTGAAGGTAATTGAAATTATTTAGATACCGCGCTTTTGTAGTTATCGAAAGCGCGCTTGTTTGTTCCTTGATTTCGCGCATTGACTGTTTGGCTGTCTCCGAACTGTTATGGCTTGTTGTAAACGTCAAATAAACCTTACTTTTTGAATGCTTAAAAGTTGCACGAGTTTATATATTCCGCGCTTACTAAACTCGATACTATACGGCTCAACAGAAATAATAATAATAGAAAATCTGGGGGTCATTATTACTTTTAAAGTCGATTTCAAAGTCAAACTAAATGTCAGACTAAAGTCAAACTAAATGTCAGACAAACCAAATGATATAGTAATAATGGAAGCTATTAAAGGTAATAGAAGTAATAATAATGGAAAATCTAGGAGTCATTATTACTTTTAAAGTCAATTTCAAAGTCAAACTAAATGTCAGACAAACCAAATGAAATGAATAATTGAAATAAATAATTTATTCATGGAAAATCTAGGGGTCATTATTAATAAATTATTCATTTCATTTGATTTGTCTGACATTTAGTTTGACTTTGAAATCGACTTTAAAAGTAATAATAACCCCTAGATTTTCCATTATTATTATTATTCTATTACCTTCAATAGCTTTCATTATTGCTATATCCATTATTACTATATATATATTACTATATATATATATATATTATTATAGTGCAATCTACAATATATTGCTACGTTTCTGCAATGAAATTGCGAGTTTCTGTGCTGTATAAGTTTGGTGGCAAAGAGAAATGGGGATTGCTCGGAGGGAGTGATAATACCGTCACGACATTCAGACAGATAGAAACAACTGCGCCGAATGCTGAAAGCCTATTACACGGGAGGGACCCTTCGACTCACGCGTTTTCGAAATCCGTCGGTCGCCGCGCCCAGTCCACCTCCGCGCGCAGCCTCTGCAGCCCGCGCCAAGATCGAACTCAGTAACGGAACTTCAGCGTCAGTTACCTTAAATTCGATTCATCAAGAGCCTACCGAATTTTCGCGTCCAACCAATAAAAGAACGGCGAACCGAATAAAATTGCAAGTAAAAAATGATATTCGAATAGCATGTATAAGTTAACCCCCCCCCCCACCTCGCGATTCTACTTCCACGCCGCCATCGCATATTTGTGCAGGATAACTTCCACGACTTGTGTCGTAGAGTACGATTATTTGTGTTAAGAGTATCCTTTCAAATTGCGCTCCGCCTGTTATTTTGATTTTCCCGCGAGTGAACAGCAAAGTTTTCGATTTAAAGTCAGGCATTAACCCTTAAACACAATAAAAGTAATAGGAAACAGGGAACAGAAAATAAGAATTTCAACCTATCAGAAACCGTACACTATGGAATACATGATTTCTGATAGGTTGAAATTCTTATTCTTTGTTCCCTATTCCCTGTTCCTTTTCATTGCGTTTAAGGCTTTACTTTATTATGTAACGAGACCGCAACTCCGTCGTTGCGCCCTGTGCAGATCAGAAGAGTATCCGATTGCAGGGAGTGCAGTGTAAACATCGTCGCGTTTACGTACCGCTGACAAAGTAAGAAACAATCCTTGAGATTGCTCACAATTATGTGCGGGCCCATGCGCGTACTCCTGATCTCCCGCGACAGTCCGCGCGACACAGTGATTTCCGCCCGTCTCGCGGAATTTTCACTCTGCCGTTTGCCCAGGGAGATAGCGTCTAGTCGGAAGGGCCCGGGTATAGTCGCAGGCATAGATTTCCGCTCGGCATCGAGACTTGTCCTGATCCGCACCGAACATAACAATTGGTGACAGCGGTGGGATGCAACGTGTCACCTTACTGAAAAGATATATCGGTATAAATAGGCTGTAAATAGAAAAAAATGAAATTAATAATCGAGTAGTAATAAAGAATGAAAAATGAACAAATATAAATGGTAGGATAAGTTATAATAAACTAATATTAACTAACTCTCGAAATTGTTAAATAGAATAGATGTATGTGGGTAGGTACGGGTAGAGTTAGTCATAATAGAAATGTGTTGGAGTGTATTAAAGTCTTTGTAGTGGGAGTGGGAGTGTTGAGGGAGTGTGGAAAGTGTTGAGGTGAATAGCGTAGATAGAGATAAATATATGGATGTATAGAATGCTTGGGGGTTGTGTAGGCGTACGCAAGTAGTGAAAATCGATTTACAAGTGGAGAACCGAAGACCGGGACAATGTT